GCCCTCCCTCCATTTCCTCCCTCCCTCCATTTTTCTATATACATTTAAATAAGCTTGATGAAGTCCTCGGTTTCTCACACCTTTCTTCCCTCCTTCCCTTGCTTGCTCCTTGATTCTTTCCCTCCTGCTGCTTCTTTGCAGTCATTTCCGGAGGAAGCAGTCATTCAGAAGCCCCAGATTGATTGATTGTCTGATTGATTGATTGATTGCCTGGGGCTAATCCACAGCTGCAACCAATCAAGGAGGCTTATCTCTGATCTCTGAACTAACGGAGGATTTACAAGTGCCCTGCTGCAACCAAGGAAGTAACAAGGAGAGATGGCTTACAATTTGAGGTTTGGCTGCAGAGGGTGGTGGTGGGAGGGAGGGAGGGGGTAGCACTCTGCTCATTACCCCCAGGATTTTCACTTTTGCCACATTTGGGGTAATTTAACCCTGTTCCCCGACCTATGGCTTAAGCACTGAGCTGAAAACAAGACAATGAAATGTAATAGGGAGAATGTACAGTTCCATACCTGGGGGGGGGGGGGGAGAGAGAAACCAAATGCATGGTTACAAAATACTACAAGTGAGAAGGATCTTGGAATTGTCATAGATCACAAGCTGAATATGAGCCAACAGTGTAATGTGGCTGCAAAAAACGCCAATGCTATTTTAGGCTGCATTAACAGAAGTATAGTCTCCAAATCCTGTGCAGTTCTAGTCCCCCTCTATTCAACACTGGTTAGGCCTCCTCTACAGCAGTGCTTCTTAAACAGGGGTCCCCAGATGTTCTTGGACTGCAGTTCCCAGACCCCTTCACCACTTGCTGTGCTGACCAAGATTTCTGGAGTCCCAAGTTTGGGTCTCCCATCTGGGGACCCAAGTTTGAGAACTACTCATCTAGAGTACTGAATCCAGTTCTGGAAATTGCATTTTAAGAAGGATGCCAACAAACTGGAACAAGTTCAGAGGAGGGCAACAAGGATGATCAGGGAGCTGGAAACCAAGTCCTATGAGGAAAGACCGAAAGAACTGGGCATGTTTAGCCTTATGAAAGATGACTGAGGGGAGATATGATGGCACTTTTGAAATACTTGAAAGACAGTCATACTGAGGAGGGGAAGGAACTCTTCTCAATCACCCCAGAGTGCATCGCAGTAATAATGGGCTCAAATTACAGGAAGTCAGATTTAGACTTGAGGGAGCAGTGGCAGCAGCCACCGCGGCGGGTGTTTGTGAGGGGGCCGCCCAAGGGAGGTGGCCAGGCCGGAGCCTTCGAGTCCAGCTCCCCCACCCCCTCCCTCCAC